GGGTATTCTAGTTTTTTATGAATGTCTAGTTACTAATGGTGCTAAGGATGGTATATTGGTGCACTCCGATTGGTATTATGCTTCAAAGGTCCATCTCTTATACCTTAGCATCATTTGGTAGACATTACTCTCCCACAACTCAAATCCATGCATATGTGCAAGCTTCAATCTAAACTCTTAGCACATATGTAGGGGAGGCTAATGCTACCAATTGGGGTTCATAAAACTTGTCCATATCCTTTTACACATGGTAAATATGCTTGGGCAAGCAACATGGATTCAATTGAATTTCAATTCATATCTTTGTGAAAGGGTTGTCATCAATTACCAAAAAGGGAAGATTGAAAGCTCTAGTTTGGTTTTCGTAAATTGATGAAACCTTATGTGCTAACCTATTTGCTCTAGTGATCATGAGATAGGTAGCATAATTCCAAGTGGTGGAGCAAATGAAGATCATGATGATGGTGTGGCGACCATGATGATCAAGTGCTTGGACATGGAAAAGAAGAAAGAGAAAAACAAAAAACTCAAGGCAAAGGTGAAACTTAATAGGAGCTTTTTTTGGTTTGGTGATCGAGATACTTAGCGAGTGTGATCACATTTAGGATAGATGGTCGTACTATTAAGAGGGGAGCTCTTATCGGACAACTCGATCATCTAGTGCCACTAGGTGTTGTAATACTTGCATTGCATTTTAGGCCTAGTGCGCAATCAATGAGAAGTGATTAACCTTTGAAAAATGTTTGTGAAAATGCTAACACACTTGCACATGATAGTGATACGCTTGGAGTGTTAGCACATTTGCAAAGGTGGTGAAAAGGGTGAAGAAAAGGAGGCGTAGTCGGGTTTGTGTTGCTGCCCCGAGGGCACCACCACCCTTGTGACGGTGCACCGCCACCCCTGTGGCGGTGACCGGCTGGGAGGCCGAGAGCAGCGAGTTGCCCTGGGGCACCACCACTGTGTCTAGTGGCACCGCTGCCCCTAGGGCGGTGCCCACCTAGACTTGTCTGAGGAGCGTAGAGAAGGGGTTATCACCGATCCCAGTCACCACCGCAAGGAGGGCGGCACCACCGCCGTTTTTCACCCGAGAGCGAGGGAAGCCGAGCTGGTCACCACCGCGGGCACCGCCGCCTTAAGGGTAGTGCACCGCCATAAAAATCCAGAGAGGGGGTATTCGGGCAGATGGCTGGGTGGTCACCGCCACCCTGTCCGGTGCCCCCAACAGCTAGTTTTTAGCCGTTGGAAAGTGATCATTGGAAGGGGCACTGCCATGTCCGGTGCCAGGCACCGCCGTGTCCGGTGCCCTCGCAGAAAGCTGCTCCAAAAGGGTAACAGCTCTATTTGCTTGTGGGGTTATAAATAGAGCTAGTGGTCGGCCTTGACCACTCTCTTGGCACTTCTAACAGCTGCATACACCCTTTGAGAGCTGAGCACACCACTCCACTCACTTGCATACTTGATTTCATCATCTTGAATGAGATTGGAGAGTCTCTAGTGCATTGCTTAGTGTTCTAGCATCTTGTGGCACTAGTTGGGCGATTTGGGCTGGTGGAGTTGTTGTTACTCTTGGTGTTTGCCGACACTTAGATGGCCCGGTGATTGGTGGATCATTGAGCGGAGGAAGGTGGTTGTCTCTGGCTCCGATCATTGTGATTATGAGGGGTTCTTGTGCCTTCCCCGGCGGAGCGCCAAAGACAACTCTAGTGGATTGCTCGTGGCTTGTGTGATCCTCATCTTGTGTTGGTTATGCGGTACCCGGTTGCGGGTTTGGCGTGTAATGCCAATTAGCGCGTGAACCTCCAAGTGAGTGAATCGCCACAACGAGGACTAGCTTGCCGGCAAGCAAGTGAACCTCGATAAAAAATCTGGTGTCATCTTGTCCGAGGTTTTCTTGGTATTCATTGATTGATTGTGATTGATTGGCTCCATCATATTGTGATTGGCTCTATCCTCAACGCGGCAGTATAATCATCACATCCCCTATCCTGCATTTACTCTAGGGTTGCTTCGCTCTTTAGTGTAATTAGTTTTGAGAGCAAGCTTGTGTCGTGTCTAGTGGTCAATATGTCTCTTTAGTTAGCCTTTGAGAGCACACTAACTTAGTATAGTAACTTAAACATTGTGTGCTTAGAGATTGTAGTCATTAGAATTATGATGGGTAGCTTGCATTTTTAGTAGGTTAGCGCAACACTCGCTTCGCCATTTAATTGTCTAACATATTTGCTAAATATTATTATAAAAAATTTTAATAAGCTATTTACCCCCTCTAGCCATTAGGACTTTTCACTGGGGTGCGGCCCAGGCACGGCCCTGTACATTAGGCCGTGTCGTCCTGAGCCCGCACAGTGACCGGCTGGGCCAAAAACACGGACCTCGTGCCGGGCCGACGGATTCAGGCTGCATGCACGTATATACTCTCAATCAAAAGTTAGCTGTCAGGTGTAAATAAAAGATGGCTAAAGCTCTCTTCCATGCACTGCAGGCCACATTGCTTTATTTGCTACAGATCTAACTATTTTCTTTGTCTGCACACAGAAGGCTTGTGTTTTTTTGTTCTCTCACAACACATCTCAGCTTTTCCTCCAAAAGTAGTGCGTAGTGTTTGGATGGAGCATTTGCAGCCTTTACAGGATGCTCTCACGTGTCGTGGTGGAGCCACTGCTCGGCATGACATGGATGATTAGTGCGGAGGTGGAGGAGGCTACAAGCCAGGATAGCGTGTCGGAAAGAAAGAAGAGACGAGTGAGAGATTAAAAAAAACCAAGAGTATTTTTTAATCTTTATCAAGACTCAAGAGTTATTATATTTAAATAAAACATGACTAAACTTTAGTTATACCAACTCCGTCCTGAAAAGAATACGGGCTATAGTTTGGAGGTGCTAGAGAAATTTGGAAAGTTTGGAGGAATGTTTAACTGAAAGAAAAAGATTATAGATGAATAAGCGGATTCATATTTATGGATTTAAATTAATTTATTATAAAGATACATTTCGTAATTAATCTAATAATATTTATTTGATATTATAAATATTAATATTTTTTTATTTATAATTGGTTAAACTTAAGATTGTACTTGAATTGTATTCTTTCTGGGACGGAGGTAGTACCAGTGAAGTAACAATTAGTTTTGCATGATGTGTTTGAGTTTAGCCCACACCAGTGCCTCCGTCGCCATCTCGTCTCTTTCCTCCCCTCTCGTCTTGTTAAGCACACTCAACAGTGCTGCTTAAAAAACGCACACTCAAAAATGGTAAGCAGGCTGTCGCAAAAAAAAAAAAAAGGTAAGCAGGCAGGCATGTCAACCGTCAACGAGACAACAACAGAACCACTGCTGGCCCACTGCGCTAAACCATCCCCCGCACGGCCGCACCGGCCGCCGCCGCCGCCCTAGCTCCGGCCACAGCAGGTCACTCCCCGCTCCGCCCCGCCCCGCACGCACCCAGCTCAGCTCAGGCGTCCAGGCGGCCGGCACCAACACGCCGGTGAGTTACCCTCTACCCCCGTCGCCGCTGCGTTTGCTTACCCATTTCCCCTTTCCCTCCGTTCGTACTGGGGCGTCGCGCGTCCACCGCAATGCGCCGGTCGGGTCTGTCCCGTTCGTCTCAGTATTTCGATTCGCTCTAGCCACTCTCAAACTACGGCATTTTGGTTGGCTCCTATCCTAGCACCGCATTGGGGTTGGCTGGCCGGTTGGGGAAACTCTGTAATCGCGGCTGTAGAATGCTCAAAAGGGCGAACTCTGTTGCCCTGAGACGAAATTGTCTGGCGTTTTGAATGTTTCTTTTCTAGCTGATAGCATCCGCAGTGTTTCTGTCTAGCTGATAGCATCCGCGGTGTTTCTGTCTGAATCCTTCTGAAAGAGAGGGCGCTACGGCTGCTGCAGTACTACAGTTGATTATAACGCTGCGGTGGGGTGGTTTGGTGGAAAGATGGGCTATCCTGTATAAATTTTCTACTATCATTTTGCTAACTGGAATTGCTGTGTTTGACAAAATTATATCTTAGATGAAGCTCATCACTAGCATATGCATATATGCTTTTTTATTGTTTTGGAGATGATTGGTCACAGGTTTATTGTTTAAAAGATCTCCAAAGAGGTGGCTTCCTTTACCCAGGTGTGCATTTGTGCCATTGAACAGGGGAGGGGTGGTGATAACAAAACAGTAGTGACAGTGACTCCCACAAGCAAACTGAAAACATTTTCTGTGGAGGGTACTTAGATGAAGCTGATGATAGTTTTCCCTGCCTCACTCGAGATGTTGACATGTTGCTTCTTTATTTCAGTTGGCTTGTCCTCGCTATATTTATGCTTATCTATTGATCAAATTTAGGATCTCTGTTTGTTGAGATTGGTGCTGGGTCTAATAATACTCTGATCTAGTGTTTTTTTGGACACTGCAACTATTCCTGTTTAAATCTTAGCCTGATTAGTTAATTAGCAAAGTAATGGTGAATGACTCAAAAGTTGTGCAGTAGTTTTGATCACAAACAAACTTGGATCACATCATCAATTCATCATGAGAGACAACGAATGGGGAGGGCACATGCAAATTCAGTCAGTATGCACTTACAATACCGAGGCCTGAATTGCTTATCATGTGCTAATATCACATTTTCTTAGGTCTGTTGTATTATGTTAAACTCTACCATTAGTAAACTGAATGTAATGAATCATAATAACTTTATTCATCTATCCTGAATTCACGATGCATATACATGGTTATGTTAGATTGTTCTGCACTAGCATCATACTTGTTGTGTAACTGATAAAAGAGTACAATCGTTTGCCTGCAGATTCTCTGTATACATGCAGCATGTTTCTATTGCAAGCATAACAGATTCTCTGTATACATGCAGGACCTGATGCAGCAAAAGTTGTGTTCATACATTTTTGTTTCATAAAGTGATCTGCAGGTCTATATCTCTACTGCTTTAAGATACTTGGCTCCTGAAACACATGTTGATTAGGGCATTCTAATAATGTCAGGCTGGTAACAACATGGACTCCTGTAACAATAAGAGGCAGAGGATATATGATCCAGTCTCCAAGGCTAAGTCAAGTGACGATACAATGTGTAATGAGAACGCTGCTAGGGCTGAGAATCAATCTTCTGATCATTGCCCCAGTGAATTTGACAACCCTGAGGAAAGAAATACAGCACATGAAGACTGTCAGCAAATTTACAGGAAACATACTTCTGATATTTCTACCCAGAGGTCCGCTGGCAAGTCTATGATTGCCTGCGCTTGTTCTGATATCTTTAATTTTGAGACCTACAGGGATGCCAATCGGTTTGCAGTTGGTCAGATCTGGGCCCTTTACGATAAACTTGATGTCATGCCAAGATTTTATGCTCGAATAATGCATTTTGATGCTCACAACCACAAAATACATTTGACCTGGCTGGAGCATGAGGCAACTAATGAAGAAGAGGAGAATTGGACTAATAAAAAACTTCCCATTGCTTGTGGAAGCTTCTGCTTACAGCCAACAGTAGATACATCACAAGACAGATTCATGTTTTCTCACATTGTTGCATGGACAAAGGGTAAGAAAGGAAACTCGTATGACATATATCCTAACAAGGGTGAGGTATGGGCTCTTTACAAGGGATGGAGCAAGCAATGGAGCTCAGATACAGATAACCATAGATCCTGTGAGTATGAGGTTGTGGAAGTCCTGTCTAACATGTCAGCTGATGACGGTGCCACAGTTATCCCACTGGTCAAGATTAAGGATTTTGTCAGTTTATTCGCAAGAGCTAAGGGCATGTCCTCATTTTTTATACCATCGAGTGAGCTACTTAGGTTTTCTCACAGCATTTCCTTTTATAGGACAAATGGAAATGAAAAAAATGGTGTCCCAAGAGGCTTTCTAGAACTTGACACTGCATGTCTCCCAGCTGACCTCGGTGCAGCATTTTCTTCTGTCACTCTTGTGTCTTACATGTTTCTCGGCAACATGACAGGCTGTGTGTTTGCTGATTTGACCACTGAGGGTGCAGATAATAAAATGGATTGTGGAGACGAGTTGATTGCTCGAAAGGATAATTCCTTAGAACAAAATGTTTGCCACTCAATTTGTACAGATGACAACGATGATATTTCTTCTGAGCAAAATCCATCAGAGCAGAAAAAGGCCCATGATGCCAATGAACTTGTTACAGAAGATACATCTACAATGCCAAATGCTGCAGGGTCATGCGATCTTCAGATGTTAGGCAAGAGGAAGCATGATGATTGTGCTGACAGTGGCCGCCGGAGGGACTCTTGTATCAATAAGAGGCAGGGTAAAGACACTGCTGATAAAATGTATAATGATGATGTTGCTGTCGCTAACACTCAAGCTGCCAAACATGTTCCTGACACCATGGACAGCCAAGGTGAAGGAAATGCAACACATGAAGATTGTCAGCAAAAGTACAAGGAGGAAGCTACAGATATTGCTAATCAGACGCATGGCAATCCTGGGATTGCTTATGAGTGCACTGGTAGCATCCGCAGCAGGGACTCTCGTAACAATGACAAGCAAAGGAAGGGCAATTCACTTGCTGACACTAATTCAACTGATGATAATGTGTGTAGTGATAATGTTGCTGGTGGTAAGAATCAAGCTGCTGAACCTGTTCACAGCACATTAGACAGCCATGATGAGGGAAATGTAACTCAAGAAGGCAGTCAGCAAAAGTACAAGAAGGATGGAATGGATATTGCCAATCATAAGCATTGTAATCCCGTGATTACCGATGAGTCTTCAGATTTCTTTGATTTCGGAACATTAAGAGAAGTTAACAGGATAGCAGTTAATGAAATCTGGGCAATTTATGATGATCATGATTCCATGCCAAGAAATTATGCGCAGATAAATGATGTCGATGCTTCCAACAATATTGTTCAGTTGACTTGGCTGGAACACAACACAATGAATTTACAGGAGACTAGATGGAATCGTAAAGAATTGCCTGTTGCATGTGGAAACTTCTGCTTAGGAGAGACATGTGTACTACATGACCCATCAATGTACTTTTCTCATAAAGTTTCATGGGTAACAGGCAAAAATAGGAATTCATTTGAAATTCATCCTAAAAAAGGTGAGATATGGGCTCTTTACAAAGAATCAAGTTTGCTGCAGAGCAGAGACACTGATAATCATCAATCTGTTGACTATGATGTTGTGGAAGTTTCCGATGACTCAATGAGTGTCGGTATTATCGTTTTCCCCTTGGTCAGAATTGAAGGCTTTGTGAGGCTATTTGCGGAGTCCAAGGATAAATCCCATATTTTGATACCATCGAGTGAGCTACTTCGATTTTCTCATAGTATACCTTGTTATAGAACAAATGGAAGTGAAAAGGTAGGGGTAGGAGGGTTACTGGAACTGGATACCGCTGCTCTTCCTTGTGACTTGGCCACAATGTTTCCTTCCGTCGCTCTGGATTCTTTCATCGATCTCAACAAGGAAAAAGTCACTGAGTTTGTCGGTGTTACATATCCTGATTCTGAATTCTACAATTTCGATGAAGACCGCTCGTGTGAGAAATTTGAGCGTGGGCAAATTTGGGCTCTCTACAGCAGTACTGATACATTTCCCAACCTCTATGGTTGGATAAACAAAGTTGAGAAGGAACCATTCAATGTACATTTGACCTGGCTCAAGGCTTGCTCTCAGGGGGTAGATAAGCATTGGTTGGAGCAGGACATCCCTGTGAGCTGTGGTAATTTTGTGACCCGGAATTCAACAGCCGAGCATTGTGAAACCTGTGCTTTCTCCCATTTAGTGGTAAGCAGGTGCGAAATTGGTACAAGGCAGCAGGTCAATATTTTTCCAAAGGTAGGTGAGGTCTGGGCCATCTACAAGAACTGGGCACCAGACAGGGTTCCTTCCAGTAAAGATCGTCCTGCCAACTATGCCATTGGCTGGATCAAGATGTGTACTGAAGCAACCACTCTGTTCACTTTCCTGACCAAAGTCAATGGCCACCTGTCTGTGTTCAAGCATGATGTGCTGAAGCCACCACTGGAGATACCAAGGGAAGAGAACCTGAGATTTTCTCATCGGATACCATCATTCCGCCTGACAAAAGATAATGGTGGCAAGCTCTGTGGCTTCTATGAGCTTGACCCTGCTGCTGTTCCTGACGTTCTTCTTTAGGAAGGACGTTCCCTGGCGCTTTTGATGCCTGACTTGTTTCAAGACTGTAAGAGCAAACGTCTCAACTTCTAGGATGTTCTGCTTAGCTAACATATTCATGTATCCAGAACCATACTGTGTTCTGTTGCTATGTATCCTCCTCTGTAGTTGACGTGCTTTATGGAAAGCAAACTGAATTGCCAAAGTACTGGTATGTACTGCTATATGATCAGGTCCTCAGTGTTTGTGGTAAGGTGGTTGCTTGGGGTTGTTGTCGGTTGTTTCTTTTAACCCTTCTATTGTGTATTTTATTCAACGTCCGTATGTCATAGGTTTTCTCTAGCTTCTCTCCTATCATGTTGATTGCTTTTTGAGAATGCTGAATAGTAAGTGCTGTTGTGAAATTACGCTTTTAATATATTGCCGCTGAGGAACATCTGGCATTATTTTTGCGGTTGGTGTTGGTGAGCGGTGGTGTGGTGGCCGTGAGGGGTAGAGGAGATCTTGGGTGGGCTCTGCCTCTGGAGGCGCCGTTGACCACCTGTTTGTTATGCATCAGGTGAGATTGAGCTGCTGCTGCTGCTTGCTTGTGCAGATCTTGTCTGTTCCTTTTTAGTTCGTATGTTGCTGCTTGAATATTATCTGTTTTTTTTTTGCTTCTGAATACTGCTGTAATTCAAAAGTTACTTTACTGCATGTTGTGTGAAAGTGGCATAGTAGAGATTCTGTTACTTCATGGCCAATATTGCTATACAGGTTTAGTCATGAGCTTTGATAAAAAGGCATATTCAAGCTTTAGGTTTCAGTAAACACTCTTACTGTCATGGTGCAAATGTCTCTGTATTGCTTTGAAAGTGCATCATGCTTTCTCAGTATGTAGAGTGCTTTATTTATAGATCGTCGTAGCTTGTTTGCCTGCCGTATTTCCTGAATGCCTCTGTATTGCTTAGAACCAGGATAGTGATTCATTTTTTACCTGCAGTTAGATTATACTTTAATGATACCTTTATTGATTGAAATAAGATTTTACCTTGACGATGTAAAGTTTTAAGGTTGTTTCCCTTTCCAAGTTTCGTTACCTTGATGATTCAAATATTTACAGTTATCACTGCATGCTTCAGCTTACGTATTAATTAATTTTACTCTTATCTATACCGAAATTGGATATCTCTGAACTTTAGCTATTTTTCTTGTTCATCAATGTAGGTGAACTGATGACCGGACCGGGCATGTTTACTTTGGACGATGAAGATGATGATTGTTAGTACAAAGGAGATGCTATGTCCTGCTGGTATGCTATCTGTTTTCTGGGTTGCTCCATATTTGTTGGAAGTGAGGATGGCTAAAACTGGGTACAAGAAGATAGGCTGAAGGAGTCATAGTTCATCAACTAGTAATCTCTATTGCCGTACATCTTCTGATTCACTTCACCACTTGACGTGCCTGCTACTTGTACCGCAGCCTATCACTTCTCTATTTGAGCCTTGATGCGAACCTCTCAGAATATTTTCTTGACATTGCACAGCAGCCTACTACATTGTTTCTTAGTATTTCCTCTTTTTAGTAACTTTCTGAATAATTTCTTGACATGCCATGTTTAGGATTGGTCTTATTGCTATTGGGTGTCTTGACAGACTGCTATTAGGTGTCCTGACAAACTGCTATTAGTATTGTTTTTATGTGGTGGTAGTGTTTATGGTCAGGAGTATTATTGTTTGAGATGGAATTTAATTTGCAAGAATTGATCATGAAACAAATAATATACATTCACTAAAATTAACATTGTAACAGCAGCACTGTTTTTAACATTGTACTTGCTGAACTTGCTCACGGTAGAGAAACAGATAATATACATTCAGTAAAATTAATTTAATCTGGGTTTGTATATCATGTCTACTTTGTCTAGACCATTTTCTTCTAAGCATAATGTTTTTACAGTTATACTTTTCATCTTCAGGCTAACCAGTCGTTCGTGATATAGCTCAGAAGCTGCGAAGTCATGGCTGGTATCGCTACAAAGGAATAATGCTGAATTCAGGGAGCACATCACTGGACTATCAATGAAGCTTCAGCTGAATGGAGTTATGCTTGGCATGTTGAGTTCATTTTTCGTTAGCATCATTCTCATAAGGAAAAAATATATAAATTATTGTCTGATTTCTTAACTTTTTTTGGAGCTGTAATTTTGTCCTTTAATTTGTCAAAGTCTTCTTTCAGCTAATGTCCCTTAGCATTGTAATCTATTGCCTTTTTTAGCTATTATCAACTTTGTTGCGTACCATTAAGCAACCCGTAAGCCTGCAGGCTGCAGGAACGAATATATGAACATCTGGTCACTTGATGTGTCAATCAAATGTCTGCATCTGGCTTTATTTTTGGATGCTGATCACTTGATGTGTCAATCAACTGTCTGCTTCACAAATCATAGTGGTAATAACGTTTGTTTGTTGGTTTGGTCGGGTGACCAAATATATGAACATTCTTGAGAAACTTTGTAGCGCCACATCAAATTCAAATTTCAACTGTAATGGGAAGATCAAGTTGAATTACTAGGATGATAGTTCTATGTTGCTTGTATTTTCAGCTTTTGTTTCAGCGTGCTCTTCCGTTCATTACTTGGATGCAGAGTTGGTTCCTATCCCTGTTGAATCCTAATTTTGTGAGTCTATTTTCTTATCAAAAAGTAACATGTTGCTGTCACCTTTACAAGGCACAACCGCACAAAGGTATAAATGCATTTTAAGTCATGAATGCTTGTATCTCTATACGCACATTTCCTCTTTTCTTTCTTTCTTTTCTTTTTTTTTTATTTTTTTTTTTGCTCTTTTGATTAGCTTCAATTGAAATTTGTTTTTCTTGATCGTGGTTGTTTTGACCACATTTTCTGTACATAACTCACGATTGTTTACTTATTTTTGAAAGAGAAGTGTTGGAGTTAGCATGAAGGGCGAGGGAAGCTTCATTTCCTATATAAGCTTCTCATGCCTTTGATATTGTCAGCAGTAGCACTTTTGATGTTTGTCAATTAATTTATGTTACCTCCTTGGGCCATATAGTTGCGTCCAATTTTCAGACCTATTATTAGTAGGTGGCCCTCCCCTGCAGTCATAAGGTGCTGGTTACTGTGCCGTACTAATGTCTGCGTGTGGTTTTGTAGGCTGCCATGCCCCCACGGGCCACGGGCATAGAAGTTTGCTCTAGTATTTTAATATATAGGTTGTTCACCTCTAGTCTGCTAGAGCCTTTTAGCTTGGCGCCATCCCTCGTCGCTGATCTTGACAGTCCTGAACCGTCCTTGATATTCTCTGTTGGAGCCTAGCGATGACTGGGCTTCGTCTCCCTCGTGGCGCCCATCGCACGATAAGTGATGGAGACGTGATTCCCGATCTTTCGTCAGATTGATGATAACTATCGTTTTGGTGGAGCATGACACACTGATCCGGTTTCAGATCAAAAGACCTAAACCCTACAATCTTAGCACCATGACTCTTCAGGTTATCAACCGTGTCTTCAACCGGTTGACCTCGCCACGAAGGCTAATCCCTGCCTGCGAAACGAAGAACACAAGCAAGAACTTGAAAGAACACAGGTCAAAGACTTGGGACAACTGTAGATGAATGATTAAGCACACGAGTTGGGGTTTCACAAACCGATAGACGGCGACTGTCAATGACAGAATGATCTAAGCAAAACCCGAAACATAACGACGGCGGCGACGAATGTTTATAAAGCTCTTAGGGTCGTCGCCTAACGTGGACGCGCCCCCCTAACGGGCTCAAAGATGATACATGATCCAATGGACCAAATACGGTGGCGTAGCACCCTGACAGATTCTAGATGCTAACTTGTTTCGACGATTCTCGTCGACTCCAATGAAATTTGGACCTCAAACCAAAACCATTAGTTAGCTTATAAAATTATCTTTTCATCCATATGTGGATCGTCGAAAACGGAGTCCGGATGCATCCTCAGTGACCAGTTTATGGCAGACTGGTCCTGGAGGCCGAGGCAGACTCGAAGTCGTGTTGGAACGGGCCTCCGGCTTGTGTTGGACATCCTTGCTGGTCATCTTCGCCTCCACCTCTTCCTCTAAGTTCCTCCTGACCCTCTCCAATGTTCCTAAGCAATATAACATCATTAGGTAGCAATCTATTCTCAAAAGTATGAAAAGGATCATTTAAGAACAAGCTCACCTCTAAATTTAGTTGTCGCATTCGAGTTCGGGTCATTGGACCTTGCATAATGGTTGGAGGATCAGCGGATGCATCCGAAGGAGTGATGTCCTCGTCAGTAAGGGTCTGGCCGCATGAAGAGAGAGAGAGAGAGACTAAGTGGCGGGCCCATGCCACCGGTGATGGCCACACACCCGTCCTTGTCACGATGCATCACGCTTGAGACGTGACCTTGGGCTGGAAGTGCCCGACAAGACTTGTTGCTCTGTCCACATGTCAGGTTCTAGCTAGACACCTAACAGATTCCGAGGCAATATTCCTCACGTCGGTCGGGGTGAGAAGCTGAGCCGAGCAATACGTTGTCGTCTTCTAAGGTCGGGAAACAGGCGGGCCAAGCCAAACCCCTAGGGTGCGGGTGACTTGGGCGCAGATTTGCCATTCCTAGCCTATCTTCCAGGTGCCAAGGCCTTGTCCCGAAGTAGGTTGTCTAAGGACTATTAGGCCCTTTGTAATAGTCTGGAGTGTGCGCACGAGTGCACACGACGAGTTTAGCCCCCGTGTCCCTTAGGTGATTAGGAGAATCAGCAAGGGGGTTAATTGTACTTCCATGGTGCTAATTAAGAGGTTTAGGTAATCCTCTGTCAGGTACTCAACACATGGGCTGACAAACAAAAAGTGAGAAGATAATTTTTTCTTGTTTTAATATTAAGTATAGGGATGAGGTGATTCTCAAACAATTTGGGGTGATTGGTGATCTCACTGGTCACTAAGTTGATGAATACAGGCTCCAATTCCATACTTCATGTTGTTTTAGAAAAGATTAAGGCAAAACTTTTAAGAGTTTGAGTA